CAAATTTACCATGACCGGCGTACATAAGTTATCAGGTTTGTGATGTGTGAGTTACCATGCTATTCACATAAAAGTTATCGGGGGTATATTTCATCACCCCTCCTTGCGAAAGTACCAGGATCACGGTGCATAAGTTATCAGGTTTTCGATCTGTGGGTTACCATGCTATTCACATGAACGTTGCCGCTAGCGCCGCCGCCTGCTTGGCCACCACGAGGAGCTGCTGCTACACTTGGTCTCACGCCTGGTAGCTCTCCTTGGCCACCTGGCGCAAGAGGAAGGAGATTGGGCGCCGTCGGCGGAGAGAAAAGGAGGTAGGGATAAGGTGGATCGTGAGCCGCTCATTTCCTATCTGACGACGTGGGACTCGTTCGGATCTGAAGCAAACGCGCGACCAGTCGGAAATTAGCTTTCTTTACACATAAGTTATCGGAGGTATGTTTTTCAACAACTCCCTCTCTTTCCCGCCAGTCAAATGTTACTTTGGTGTTTGTACATAAGTTATCCAGTCTATGATGTGTATATTATCATGTTATTAAGGATAAGTTGTCGGGTCTTTATACCTAAGTTTTCAGGTCCGTGGTGTGTATGTTACCATGCTATTTAGACAAAGTTATCAAGGTATGTTTTCAACAACTTTTTTCAGGTAAAAAACTTACCGCGGTGTATGTACATAAGTTATCAGGTCTACGGTGCATATTTATCATGTTATGTACATAGAAATTATTGGGTGTGTGTTGGCTAAAAAAAATCCAGGATCAAAAAGCTACCGTGATGTTTGCATGTAAGTTATCATGTATAATTTGCCTATATTATAATATTATTAACACAGAAGTTACGGGTGTATGTTTCATAACAACTATTTTCCCGAATAAAAGTTGTCATGGTGTCTGTAGCTAAGTTTTCAGGTCTCCAGGCTGTCTCAATACTTACATATAATTTATCACGGTATGTTTCAATAACTTTTTCTAGGTAGATGTTAATGAGAAAAATTCACATGCGCTAGAGATAATCCAAGAAAGGAACAAGAAAAACACATAATTTCGGGCGATATGTTATTAATACAAGGTCAAATACGTAGCTTTTGTAGTTTTCACAACCACATGCTTTAGTTGAGTTGGTGGAACGGGTCATTCACTTATCACCACGTACCACGTCCTGGGTTCGAGTAACCGTTCCTGCACTTTGTTTTTGTTCCCATCCAGATTACTAACAAGAGATAAATTAGGAGAGAGAGAAGATCTAGGCAGTAAAAAAATCGCAGAAAAATTTAAGAGCGAGACTTATAGCTACTTGCATTGTATCTTCAAATTGGTTGCTATCTCACCGAACCAAATGGACGCTTGTAGCTTTCTACCTTACTAGCATTGCTTGTGGATGAACAGCGCAGCAGGTCATTTTTTTATAAGGCTGTACGTCTAAGCGCCAGTATGTACTATACTTTGACAACGAGCATGCCCTCTTCTCTCTAGAGATGATAATTCGCAATAAATCATGTCAATGCTCAGATTGTCCATTTGCTATGCTTCCTCTAATGCATTTACATCAGAAGATGACAACTAATGGACAGCCATATAACTTGCCAATTTCTCTTCTCAAGTAATAATAGAGAGAATCATGAACCTATACAACTACACAGCGGTAATGAAACCAAAAGGAAGAAAAACTCTAAATGGCAGAGAAAGAATACATGGTTGTCCAAAACTTGAAGCCATCCAGTGTTGCTCAACGGCAACCTACACCACAGTGGTGAACATGTACTGTAAAGGATGAGCCTGTAACTATCAGTCCAGTTGTATTTCTTGCAACTGTCCATGCCGCCCATTCATATCATTTGTGATTATATGGATTCTGTCTTTCTTCGGCGACTCCACCTCGTCATTTCCTTTGGGTGATTCTACTGTCCATTCACCATCTAGTTTTTGTGTTTCTCCATGTTTCTCATCATCTATTTTCGGTTCTTCTTCCCTGTGATCATAAGCATCTGTAACCTTGGCATCTGTGCAGTCACTAGCATTGTTCTGTTTTCCCTGAAAAGAACAGATCTTGACAGGTCAGTGCATAACCTGGTAAACGTCTCGGTACAAACTGAGTTGCAAGGAACGGAGGATTTCCTCTTTTTAACTAATTCGCATTGCTTCCATTTGAAAATATCACGGTGGTTCTGTGGTTCAGAACTTGAGATGATAGAATTGTATGCTGACATGTGTAGCTTTTATCTCAAATACAGGGAGTATCTCCATTGTTGAGTTGCAAACTAAAATAGTTTATTGGACTGGCAAGCTGGGCCATTTAAAGTTTAAGCTAGTCAAAACTGGCACGGTCATATATGAGGCACCTCATGTCAGTCTATTGGTCAGAATAAGTTACCTTGTTCTTATCCCGCCAACTCAGTGAAAATGGTCCAAGTAAGTTTATTCTTCTGGACTGAGGCTCCTGGAATGAATCATCTTGTGCAGATGCTCTACAGGGGAATAACAAGCCTATCAAACATCAACATTGGAACACTATGATAGGAAATTTAAGTAGTCTTCTTTTAAAACGGAAGTTAATTAACTCAGATTTATTATCATAGTAGTACACCTAGGGATGCAAGCAGCGGGTCAGAACAATTCGCATCATGTGTTCCAGTGGCTGGCTTAGTACAATTGCCTTTTGATGCCACTACTATAATTTACACTGTGAGAGCAGCTTAGCGGGTGTTGCGGACACATCATCTGTGCATCCTTAAGTACACTGCTAATATGGTAGTGGGGAATCAAACTTCTACAACAGAGCTGCCAGAATTGCACATTAGGAGCCTTAAATAGTAGCACGAAAGATATTCAGAACTTCAGATAGTATCAAAAATCAGATATGTAAATCAATATCAATGTGTTGCCAGGTATAAGCAGCAGGCCCGCTTGGTACTACAAACATTCGAAGATGCAAGACTGAGATACCAGGTATAAGCAGCAGGCCGCTTGGTACTACAAACATTCGAAGATGCAAGACTGAGATACCTTGGAGAAGGCAAAGGGGAAAGTGCTTTCTGCTGGCTAGATTGGTATTGCAGTGTGGCCTCCAACATTGTTTCTGCCATTACAGCTCTGTTCTCCATTTGGGCAAGTGATGCCATAGCTTCCTCATACTTCTCCTGCACACGTGTTGTCACCCTGATGAGTACTAAATGAGGAGTATAGCAATCACAGAGCTGGCCTCATTGCATATCAATTCTGACAAATATTTATTCTGACTGGTAGCAAAATAATATGAGAAAGAGACTGGAGTTTGATTCTTTAATGCAAACATTGCTAGTTAAAACAATAAAATAACAGCATATAGTCTGAGAACACAAGATATGGTATATTGTGATATTCAACTATGTGCAAGTTAAATGTGGGACCTGGGCAATATCATTCCCATAATTACAAGAAATTATGTATGCCTGAGCCATCATGCAATACAGTGATTCGACTCAGGATGTAGCAAATCTACTAGCTATGATTGTTTCCCCGACAGGCAAAGGTTTTGATCAGTTTTTTGTAACTGATCAAAACCTTTGCCTGTTGGGGAAACAACCATAGCTGGGAAGAATAGGGGAGCCTGCTCGAGATGCCCTTAGACATCTTTTGAGCGAATGTTGCAACTATTTTGAACAAGTGTTTGTTTTTTTTGTTGATACATATGCCAAAATCTCTAATAACATGATTGTCCATATTATTTACCAGACGCTGACGCTACACACATGCCTGGGATTTCAGTTAGTTGACTTAGTTCTGAACAAAACAAGT